TAATGATCCCCATTAGTGGTGGAATTCAAATTTTCTGTGGTCGTGGCAGGGGAAGAATACTGTAAAATCTCCAGTCAGAGGTGGTATTTGCCGGTTCTCCGAAGTACTCAAAATTTCTGCTACCGGTCAGAACTGGTCAGAACCTGCTGAATACCACCTTTGATCCCCACCCTCTTGCGCTCCCTGATGCACCAATTAAACAAATGCATGGGTTTTTAAGCAGAACACAGGGTGCCTAAGGAGTGCCTGCTCCAAATCTTCCAAGGCTTCAACCAGGGGTGGGATTCCAATTTTTTAACAACCGGTTCTGTGGGCGTGGCTTAGTTGGTGGGTGTGGCTTGGTGGTCATGTGACTGGGTGGACATGGCTTGGTGGGCATGTTATTGGCTGGGCATGGCCAACTCAATATCCCTCACATCGAGGCATGCATCTCCTTGCCTGACCTCTCAAGACTGGGGGGATTTTGCAACAGTTGTAAATGTGAAAAATGATCTTAAAGTCACTTTTTCAGTGCCATTGTAACTTTGAATGGTCACTCTACACAAGCAAAGTACCAGCAAAGGAGGGGGGGAAAACTCCAGAGAAGTTCCTGAGACAAGAAGTCTAATCCTGCCAAGAATGTAATAAGGGTTAACGGAGAGGCAGTTTCTGTAAGCAACACCAGAACGTTTCCTTCCTGCCTTCCTTACAGGATTAGGCCAGTAATTTCTTCTAACAATCGGTTCTCCGAACTGCTTAGAATGCTAACAACTGGTTCTAGCGAATAAGTGCGAACTGGTAGAATCCCACCCCTGGCTTCAGCCACCCTGAGGCATCTCATGCTCCACTTCTCTCTCCTTGAGGTCCCTGTAGTCCTCAGCCAGTGACCTAGGGGAGATCGGGTTGGCTGGAGCTTAAACCTTCTAGTGACAAAAAAGAGATCAGGCCATCTAAAGCTTGCAAGCCTCCTGGTTTTCTTCCCATTCAGGGACTTGCAGATCTTTGCCTGCTCCAGCACTTAACAGCACCCAACGTACATTTCTATTTTTTTGCAGCTTCTTAGAGAAGTGCCTGGCCCAATACAAGATCAGCTTTCTTACATCCTTTTGGCAGATCAGATGTTATTCTCCTGAGCCTGTAGGGGGCTCCCTTTTTGAAGAGGCTCCACAAACCACAAACAAAGGGAGCCTCCTTAAAAAAATGAGCCATGTCCAGGATTCCGAAAATAGCGCTTGTTTTAGAATAGCCTGAATTGCAAACTCCAGCTGGCCTGATTTTCTTAGTCACTGGGAGGGAACAAAGTGAGAAGCTTTCAAGATCCAGCTGATTCACATGTACTAGTCTGCCTGATCTTTGGATGGATGAGTGGATGCAGAGACCCAGAGTGGGGGGCTGCAGAGTCCTTGAAGTCAGTCGTAAGGGCTGACAGGTTGCTGAAGCAGCCATAACTTTGAAACTGAGTCATAAGTAGCTTTTGGGGGGTCTGTGTCATAATTTGAATGATTGCTAAATAATAAGCCAAGGGCAACCTGTATAGCATAATCCTATATAGCAAGGGTGTCAAACTCAAGGCCCGTAAACCAGATCCATCCCATAAGTGCTTAGATATGGGGGCCACCCTGGAAACAGCAAAGGACCAGTCTGCAGTGCAGTCTGCCTGTGAAAATGGAGCTCGTACATAGCCCTCCTGAGCTCCGTTTTTGCCGGCAGAGATACCGTGGGCCAGTCCTTCGCTGTTTCCAGGGCAGCCCCAAGGGCCAGAGCTAAGCACCCCCAGGCTGGATCCAGCCTGCGGGCCTTGAGTTTGACACCCCTGCTATAGAATGAGCAAGCTTCTAAAATTTACTGAATTTAGTTTCCAGCAACCTCAAAAACGTGGCATATAGTATGGGGTCTTTTGATGAGCTACATTTGAAGTGTCATGTATTGCCCATTGGTTTAGTATTAATATGTAGATTGCAAAGAAATTCATTGGCTATGAATCAGCTATTAGGGTTTTTTAACCATAAAGTTATTTAGGACACCTGTTCCAACCCTAATTGGTCCCACCTATTAAATCACCTAGGAAAAAACTACTACTTCCCACTGGGAACTACAGAGAGTTGAAACAAGGAGGTGCTGCTTTTCAGTAATCCCTGTAATCTTCTAGAACATTTTCCCAGAGTCCCTTTTTTAAGATCTTGATAGAGCTGCTCCAGAGAACATTTTTAGCTGTTTGAAACCATACTTTTCTTCTTTTTAAAAAGTTTGCTTAATCTTCATTTTAAATTAGTTTGTAAGTATTGATGGATGAATTCATTGTAGCGGGATACAAATATAATAAAAATAATAATAAAATAGAACATAAATCTGAACTGGTCAAGTGGATTGTCTTTAACAGTTGAACATTTAGGAATACATAAAATTAGCTAAATGTCATTGAGGGCTCTGCTCAGATATATATTTAAGAGACATGCTGATTTTTAAGAAAAAGTGGGAAAAACAAAACCAAGAATTTACTGAATGTGAAGTGATGTCATACAGTGACAAGGGGTGTTGTGTCATCCATGCACCAACTGTGATCTACATCCTTCTCATTTTTGAGGCAGAGAAATATGCTATTTTGAGTTTCCCGCATCTTTTATGAGGTAAAAAAAACCACCACAAAAAACAGATTTGCAGAATAAATACAATCTGTAAATACAATAAATACAACCTGTAAATAAATACACCTGTATTTTATTTCATATTTATTTTGAGAACAGAGAAATGGCTCAATATATTTTGGGCAATTAGAAGAAAGGGGAGATTCACTTTTTTATTAGAACTCATTTTTAAGGCCTTAATTTTCTATACATTTCTAATATACACTTTAATTCAGCAGAGAAGTAACTTTGATCAGCTCATTAATCCTGAAATAAACATTTTCTCCTACCGCTTCATATAAAAATAATTTTAATCTTACCATGTCAGATCTTATTAATATTCTTTCTTTAGAAAGACAAAGACTTAAGTTTTGTTGTTTTTTTCTTGCTAATAGTCAGGACAGCTTCATATACAATAATTTTATAGAGAGATTACCTTTGTAAAGGAAAGCTGTAAGTACATACACAGGTAGCAGTATGCGCACATAACAATTTAATATGTAATTTTCCTACACAGAACAGGTACCTGTCAGGAAAAAGTCTACATAAAAAATATCCCATAATTCACAGTACATAAATGTAAACCATTCTACACATTACAAAGTAAAAATAGCAGTAATCTATGTGGGGGTTATATTTTATATGCTTTCTCTAATCACAAAGGAAGAGCTCATTTATTGTGATTAAAGGCACCAGGCTAGAAATCAGGACTGTGAGTTCTAATCCTACCTTTGGCAACTCTCATCCCTAAGATGACAAAGGCAAATCACTCCTGAAAATTGTTGCCAAAGACTTATCCATCTAATCAACAGGAGTCCAGACTAATTTGAAGGCACAAAAAAAAGCCAAAAAAGTTATGATGCTGTTTTCTCCAGATTTGCTACAGTTGAGATGGTAAGATTGTAAAACAGAACCATTTCTTAACAAATACTGTCTACAGGCCCAGGTATTCCACCTCACCAAAAGGTGGAAGGACTTGGGAGAGTACTTACTTGCGGTGTAGGACTTGGGAGGGTACTTACTATATACCTTATTTACATGCAGGGGAGTAGAAAGGACCAAACGGTTGTACAAAACCACTCCTGCTCATCCAGTTACATTTTGAATTCTACTACCTTTGTTTCTATATTGTGTAGAATGGCTCAGTTTTTAGGAATCTTTCCGAAATTAGCCCTCACTAGCATGGTTTTTATTTCACAGGAAGGAATAGTTTTGGCACTGATTTTTTTTTTAAAGTTTACAAATACAAAAGTTCTTGAGAATTATAGTCAGTTTAATAGATTTTCTCTTCATTTCTACCATTCTAGCCAAGGTCATTAAGACCTTATTACAGCATATAAAGTATTGCTTCAAATTTACTTCTTTTGATGTACTGCTAACTAAAATTTAACTGGTTTGTTCCTCCTGAAAACCCAAGGGAACAAAGGCATCAAGATTTTATTGCTGGTGAACTTTTAAGTTTTCTTCATCCAACAGAAATAACACACACATATTATGCTTTTACAATCCTGGGCATTTACATATTAATATTTCCATTGTTATGCACCCAGGCATTAATATTTTGGATTAAGCTGGCTCTTTATTCATTGATAATTTTATATGGCAAATTCTGCTATGAATGTTTGAAAAAATACTCATTTGGAAAAATTGAGTGTTTGGGGAGGAGGGATAATTTCTTAATTTTATGAACCTGAAATAACCAAACCCAGTGGCCAGTTGTGAAAACTCCACATAAATTATTGAGCATAAGGACAGAATTATGCCTCATTATGAATATGACGGTACATGTTTATACCAATAGGCACCAGCTTCTCAATTTTGTAATCTGTTTTATAATATCAAGATTTGAGAGATCAAAAATGACTTACATATTACACATGAAATAAATATACCCTATGGCAGCTTGCTGTTTCATCTATATGTATGATTATTTCTTAAACTAAGAAATCCCCAAAATAAGATGCTAGGTTCAATAGAACATTGATCTCATTCACTTTATAATAGCACCACTGGGGGTAGGATTAGCAGATCATAGCAAAATGCATAGACTTAATGATCCTGGTAAATTACAGTCAATACTGTACTGGTATTTATTTAAGTTACAAAACAAATGAAGAATAATTTTTAGTGTTCTCTAAAATTTCCTCAATGGGATCCATAGCTTATCTTGCAAAAAAAAATTCACCTCATAATAACTCAGTTTACAAATAAAAATTTGTGGAACTGTTATTTCCTGAATGAATAACAATAAGCAACCATCATAAGACTACAGCAAAAGGACTTTCAGACTGATTCCATGGTAGGATCTAGAATCTTTTCCTTAAGTTATACAATACTTACTAATCTGTTTGGCCTCCGTAGATTTGTAAGACCATTGATATAAGTGTTATTTCCTGCCCTTTTTAAATGTTTTGTTTCGTATTCATATCAAGTTTCTTTACAGATTACTGGACCATTCATTCTCTACTAGTTAAGGAAAAAAGAATATCTGACATTTACTATCTTAGTCATTTTTGCACTGTTTTATCACAGTGTCATGTAATGCTCTTTTTTTAGTGACTAATTGGCAGTCCTTTGTTGCTCCTATTGCAAATATTCAACAAATGCAAAGAACATTTGGAAAAAATCTAGAAACATTGCAATGAGCCTCAGTTACACAGTATATGTTTACAGTTAAGATTTAGATTAATTTGTCCAGAATTTCCAGATACTAGTTTAATAGAAAATCTGGTTCTTGATAGCCAAAAAGATTAAAATCTCCTTCAAAGTGGGCATAAAGGCGTCTTATGTCTCTCTTGCTTATGCCTGAAAAATAGCGTTCCACTTTTGTTTTGTTATATATCGTTATGCCTGGAGGAATTGTAGGATAAGATACCAGATGGTCAATTCCTGCTTCCTTTAAGATGTATGGTGCATCTTCCTCCAAAGTTTCATGATGTCCAATTACGCTATATGTTATTTCACAGGGGGCACATAGTTCAACATAGGTTACCCAATGAATTATGTGATCTCCAAATTGTATATCTAACCATCGATGATTTGGATCACCTAGGTAGCGCACGAAGTCCTCAAACTGCAGTCCTTTAGTCTCAGTGCGATTCTTTCTATATTTTCGAATAATTCCAGGAGCAATTTCATGTCTATACCAAGGTTCAAATCTAGGATTGTGGACAAATTTATCTTTAAATGCAGAAATAAGCCTCTCAAAAGGATCTCTTACGATGAGGAACTTGAAATACAGTTTCAATCTAAATGGAAAACATAAGCAAAAATAATTGTGGGTAATATTTTTAAATTTACTGAAAATTCATAGTTTATAACCATGTTGATTTCTTCTCTTATTGACTATAGTAGCAAATGATACGCGAGTGAGATATCACATGGTGGACTTTTACGAACAGGTTAAATGTATTTGTTAGGGAAATTTTAAAATAATATATTTATTTTGATGTTAAGCATTTTTGTACACTATTCAGCTGAGAAATCTGCAAAACTTAAGATCCTTGATTGCTTCCAGTTACATTCATCTAATGACAGGATAGTATTATAGAACAGATGGTCCTTAATGATATAATTGGGATTGGCAACTCATGGCCATGTTAACTTAATAAACACAGTGGAAGCAATTCCAGTTGCTATCATTAGGCGATTCCCATGTGGTTGCAGCATCCAGCAGCCATTTGCAACCTCCTGCCAGCTTCTCCATTGACTTTCCTTGGTGGAAGTTAGCAACCAAAGTCACAAATACTGTGTTCATTGTAATTGAAAGCTGGTTGCCAAGTGCTCCAATCATGATCACATGACCTTGGGACACTGTGATGACCAGAAGTATGATGAACAGTTGTAAATCCCTTTTTTCATCATTATTGTAACTTTGAATGGTCACTGAAAAAAGGACTATTGTAATTGGTTCCCAGACTGATAAAAACTGCTAACTTCTCCATTTTAAGAAAATGATCTATCTCCTTGCAGGATTACAGGCAGGCTCCTAGGAAGAAGATTAAGGAGTTTGTGTCTATCATGCAGGGATCTATTGGTACTAAATGCAGAATGTTGAAATTCTTACAACACTATCTTTTTCTTCTCAATAAATCTTGTTGAGAGCTTCTTGAGAATATTGTTTGGAAAGAATCAAGACACTGTTTGGCCACTTTTACACAGTGGCCAAAGAACCTGATAGGAATCTGTCAGCAGGATTTACTCGTTGTATGTCTTGTAAATCTGTTCCAAGAAGTGCACACAATCAATTACTATCACTGAACAGAAATTGGTTCACTTCATGTGGAATGCAGCTGCTAAAATACCTGGCTATTTTGAAAAAAATAGCAAAATATAAAGACAGAGATGCAATGAAATCAAATTGTACAAAGAGTCCTTAAAATACTATTTAAAGAGATGACAATGTCAACATATTTTTTTCTTCTAGTCCTGATTATGGGACTATACAGGTAGTCCTTGCTTAACAACTGTGTCATTTGGTGACTATTTACAATTATGACAGAGATGAAGTAACTTTATGATCAATCATCTCATTTATGATCTTGCTTTCAACTGTAACTAAACAAAGATTTCCTGTACTCAAATTATTTTTTCACAGTTATACCTTATTTTTAAAGATGGAAATGCTATCAAGGACACTTATGAATACCATTTACTATCAATATTAAGAATTATTATTTTTTTAAATGAAGTAATAACTGTAACCATCACTCCAACCCATGTTTTCATAGAACTATGGCTTATAAAGGTCTCTGTGTTTTTGTGTATAGGGAAAGGCAGTTCCATCTTTGCTTCCACATGATTTCTTAGAAATCCCAAAGCAGTACTTACTTTACAGCTATACTCTCTCTTCTAAAGCCAAGATGCAAATGTAAAAATAATAAAAAGATGATTTTATAGCATACTGGTGTTTACTACAATGTTAATGTTTTTTACAATATATAACTATGAGCCCATACAGCCAAAACACCAGTCAAAGCTATAATACAGGTAGTCCTCGACTTACAACAGTTCACTTAGTGACTGTTCAAAGTTACAACAGCACTGAAAAAAGTGACTTAGGACCATTTTTCACAATTATGACATTTGCAGAATTCTCATGGTCACGGGATTTACATTCAGATGCTTGACAACTGGTCTGTGACAGTTGCAGTGTCCTGGGATCGTATGATCCCTTTTTGCAATCTTCTGACAAGCAAAGTCAATGGGGAAGCCAGATTCGCTTAATAAGCCTGTTACTAACTTAACAACTGCAGTGGTTCACTTAATAACTGTGGCAAGAAAAGTTGTAAAATAGGATAAATTTCTCACTTAACAACATAAATTCTGGGCTCAATTGTGGTTGTAGGTCAAGGATTACCTATACAACCTTTTCTGATTATTGCCTCTATTTAAGTCTATGGGAGTGGGCAGCTATAATACATTTAAATAAATAATCATAAACTCTGCACAAATGATCAAAAATGAGATTTTCATAATGGAAAGAATTTTCAAAGACACATTAAAATACTACTTACCTTTTTTTAATTTCAGAATCACTGAAGGAAGATAAGCGTGGAAGACCATTCTTCTCATGGTCATGCACAATGTTTTCAGGGATCTCATCAATGGAAGGAAAAGCTCCTAAGGAAGTAAGTTAGAAATTGCTGTTACAATGGTACCTTTCAGTCCATTCCCATTGTGATCTACACTAGTGGCTGTCATGATTATTTATTTATAAGGTAAAAAGGTAAAGACAAATCAGGCTTTGGTGACTTCATGGAAATGACCATCAAGTAGTTTGCTGCTACATATTTATGGAATACTTTTCTACTTTCCGGTCCAGTCTCCACGTCCTGATATTGCTATTCAGTTTCTCATCTTCCTATAATCCAGACCTGAACCCCAAATTTCTCTTTAAAAAATGGAAAGCTCAATGAATTGTTTTCATCACAACAACACGTGTCCATGTAACAGCACATTGTGACAATCTAGGCTTTCTATTCAAAGACTCCTGGAATCTGCATATTGGTATAATCCCTTTCAGTTGTCAGCATTCTATGTCTGGAAGATATTTTATCCCAAAGTCTGACCAGTTGCGGAATCTGGAACTGCAACAGCTGGATCCAAAAATACAGTGGGTCAGTTGTACTATTTTTTTTTTAGATATAGGCAGAAAGCCAGATTCCTAATACTGACATGTGATTAGCCAATTCCCTGATTTCATACTATCCACAGAGTTATGTGCAACTCCATTACAGTCTTATGCCTGAAAAGTATATATAAGCATACAGGTAGTTGAGCAAGTTTGGCCTGTCCTTAAGCCAAAATCCAATATTGTAGAAATTTGTTCGTACGCTAGGACTTTCTTTTTCTTTACTTGTAATAATAGATCTGTCATAGTCCTATTTGGTCCAAAGGATCTCCAACTTTTATGAAAGACTGAGTGGACTCTATTTAATGGGTCCAATGCCAGAAAGAATTCCATCAATAGAAGACCTTAATTACAATATTTTAATCATAGTTTCCAAAGTCAAATTTTTCAAAGCAATGTTGTCTTTCACATAATATCCACATGGAACTGAGCTGATTTTAGAATGTAGAATTGAACCCCTCTCACTTCCTTTGTTTTCTATTAAAATTAAAGGTGCTACTTAAATAAATTACAATTTTATTACTCTGTTTTATAGTAGTTTCTTGGTGTTTGTTATTTTTACAAACTATTTTATTTTTTATTATAATTTTCCCTCAACTAAATGTTACCAATAATTCAAAATTAATTCAATGATGTGATAAGAGATAAAGCATTATCTGTTCCTTCAAAGGTTAGGTTGTCAGACACCCATCTATATCTCTGTCTGTCTGAAGTAGATGTGGTGCTAATGCTGATGTGAATTAAAATAACATTGAACATTCTACCAAAGAACCTGTACATATTTCCTAAAGATGGTGTTAGGTTCAAATAATAAACTTAATTGCTCAATTCTAAAAAAATGGATATACATATTTAAACTATTGATTTGTATTAATTCCAGCCATGGAAACCATAATTTTCCACCAGAAATTAAAATATGGAAATATGTTGCAAACATTTTTGTAATCATCCTTTTCTTCCTTATCTCCAAGTTGCATTTTGATCAAATTTTATGCTGTAAAGAATCCTGGGGATCTTGAGAGCTTTAAATAAAACCTTTACATTTAAGGTACCTGTGATATCTTATTTGTCTCACTTTAAAAGGTTAACATAGTTTCTCCTTTATTAATCCCAGCATACAATCATTTCACAAAATAATTAGGACAGGAAGCCTATTATATATGTAAAGTTCTTTGGATGGGCAATGACAGATTTTAGCAGAACAGCTAGAATTGATGTAGAATAGATTTGAGTACCAAAGAGTTGAGACCTTTGAACTATGGTGCTGGAGAAGACTCCTGCAAGTCCCTTGGACTGCAGGGCGATCAAACTGGCCTGTCTTAGAGGAAATCAACCCTGACTGCTCTTTAGAAGGCCAGATCCTGAAGATGAAACTCAAATGCTTTGGCCACCTAATGAGAAGGACTCACTGGAAGAAGAGCCTAATGCTGGGAAAGACTGAGGGCAAAAGAAGAATGGGTCGACAGAATGAGGTGGATGGATGGAGTCACTGCAAGCAGTAGGCGTGAGCTTAAATGGACTCCGAAGGATGGTAGAGGACAGGAAGGCCTGGAGGAACATTGTCCATGGGGTCAAGATGGATCAGACATAACTTTGCAACTAACAACAACATTTTTATATTTTGCTGTTAGAAATTTTTGAAACCTTTCTTTCTCTAAATAAACACACATTTGAGACTTTGAAAGTTAACTAAATACCATTTAAAACAATCAAGACTTTCTTCCACTGAGTATTGCCAACTTTTGGAGTTTGACAGAAGAGGATCTTGTGCTTGTCGCATACAAAAATTCGATCCAAAACAAACTTGGAAACAGTAGTATGGGTGAGGTTTTTCAGAGATGCATCTTGGCAGACATTCCTGAGTAGTTCAAGCCTCTCCATATGGACCAGGCCTTCGTGTACAAGGTCTTCAGATAGACCTTTTCCTATTGTCTTAATATAAAAAGGGATTGGGATGGCAGAAGAGAAGAACAAAAATTATTTTGCATTTCAAGGTTCAACTCATATAAGAGTTGAGCATTACAAACATATACAGGTAGTCCTTGACTTACATCCATTTGTTTAGTGACCATTCAAATTTACGACAGCATTGAAAAAAGTAACTTAGGACCGTTTTCACATGACCTTTGTAGCATCCCATGGTCATGTGATTTAAACTTCAGGCTCTTGGCAACTGGCAGTTGCCATGTCCCAGGGTCATGTGATCAGCTTTGTGACCATCTGACAAGCAAAGATAATTAGGAAGTCAGATTAATTTAACAACTGTTACTAACTTAATCAAAGCAGTAATTCACTTAACTGTAGCAAGAAAAGTCGCAAAATGGGGCAAAATTCACTGTCTTGCTTAGAAATTTTAGGCTCAATTGTGGTTGTAAGTTGAGGAATACCTGTAGAAGGTTTCTAAAGGTCAGTATTTCAGTATTATTGTCTTTTGAAATAACTGCTTTGGTCAAAGTAGTTTGATTTCATCAGTAAGGAAACAAAATAAAAATTTAGAAATTAAATGAATTTACAAATAAATAGGGAACACAAACCAAACAATATTCTAAAATGGACTAAAATGAATATTTTTTTCTGCACCATGTAAAGAAAAAGGAAGATGATTTTTACTTTACTGATTAAAAATAAAATGCAAAAATGTTGCAAACTGGTAGTTTTTAAATTTTTCAATTCAAATGAAAAACTGAAGTACAATTTAGAAACTTTTAGAACTTTTAAATGGGTTCTAAAAGCTGCTACAAAAAGTGGTACTCCAGATTGTTAGAATCTGTTATGTTCAACAGATTCCCAGTTAAGCATGCTTAGAAATGTATCCCCAATTATATACAAAAACATAAAATATTGTGTTTTAAAATATGAACATAACCCAATAATGTAACACAGTTTTAATTCATAAAACAATACAAAAATAGTTTTTAAAATTAAAACTCCTCAATTCCTGGACAATAAAGCAAGGAAAAATTGCATTTGAACAGAAGGCAGTACAGATGGCTACGGTGATGCTTTGCTCATAAATCTCTATAGTATTTGGTTGACTGGTTTTAGGAACCAGTTATAGTCTAACACAATGAAATATGACATAGAGAACCATACCATTTATTTAACCTTTTAACCTGTCCCTTTTATATACCTGAAACTGTCCAGGCAGCCTCTTCTCTTTTGTTACATGACCTTTTCCTACTTCAGTGATAGTTGTTGGTATTACTGGCTCTTGCTTGGCACCATGAACTAGATGAAGAAAACAGAAAGCAACCTTTTTTTCATACTGCATAAGATATTTTTATTGATCACAACTATATAATTATAATTAAACTTCAAATCAGGCTGTAATTCAAGATTTTAAATAGAATACAAATTATTTAAAACACAAATCTCATGATTTGGAAAACCTTTGTCAAACTCGATTATCATTGAGAGCCGCATCAGGGTTTGGTTTGACTTTGGAGATCCAGGGTGGGTGTAGCCAACTTGATCTGCATTAACTATTTAACTGTTGCAACTAACAGGCAAGCTGTTTCATCGTTTAGGCTTATTTTGAAGTCAACATAATGAAAATATGAATGGGTAGGGAAAAAAACTAGATGATCTGTTTAATTTCTCTCACACTGTTTTGGACACAAAAATTGTTCAGTGATTACTTGCATTAATAAGAATAAAGTTGAATCAACTTACCATCAGGATCTTTGAAGGTCAATGTGATGAACTTGCTAGCAACCATGAACATGAATATTACCCAAAAGCATGCAGCTAACAGCAGCCACCGGTGGTGCATGATGTCAGATATGAGCCATGTAACTTCTGTTAGTTTCTGCTTTTTAAAAGCCACAAAAATAAATTAATGCATACCCTTTTGTTCATTTTATGATCGGTCTCTACAATACAAAAAACAGAAGCTCTCTCAAATACAGAATACACTAGTAAGGGGTCTAACAGCACAGCCTTTAAAGTTTAAACTACATATGGTGTTTGTCTTCGTGTTCTACTATTATTTTTGCTGAAAATAAATCCATTTAAGTTGCCCTAAATTTCAGTATGTTCTCATCTAGGCACATGGAGAATTTTATATAACAAAGCAAAGTTTCGATGCAAAAAAAAGCAGAGATTTTAATGTATTTTTGCAATGATAGAAGAAAAATGAAGTTCCCCTTCATTGTTATTAAGTTTACTATGTAACCATTCAGATTTAGCAATATTATTTACCATCCTGAACTATTTGAGTAGGTTAATTTTAAAAATGAGAATTTGTAACAATGCTGGAGAAAGAGAGGCTTTAGCAATAATGTCAAAGGTTATAGAATTAAGACTTCAAGAGCTCAGAAAGCAAACGTAGTTGGTCAGGCATCTTGAGGTTAAAAACAATCCCTATACTTATTTTTCTAATTTTCTCAAAATTGAAAAGTAATTTTGCAATTAATTTCAAAACTTTCTTCCATTATCAGGTAATTTTGTAAATACGTACAGATGTGCTGTGTTTCTAGGAAGGAATCAATCTTCTTTTGAATAAATCAGTTTTTAATGAGCCCTTTCAACACTGCTGTTTGCTCCATGCTCATTCACAACAGATTTGTAAAAGACAACAGCACATAATTTAATTGCCAGAATTAAGAAGCCCAATTACCATGCAATCATATATTACTTGGAATAAGCTCAATGGGACTCTGCTCAGCATGCCTCCTCTGCCAACACAGGTAGGGTGGGGTGCATACATTACATTGTCCTCAGCCCAAGACAAAATTAAGTACTAGGAATGTATTTTATTAATGATTTGGCCTAATTGTGCATATGAATCTTATAAAATAATCACCAATATTTTATTATCTGCTGATATTAATTACAAGGGCAAGAAAAAGAGAGTTGAAATTACTGTATAGGTAGTCCTTATATTTCGATCACAATTGAGCCCAAAATTTCTATTTCTGTTAAGTGAGACATTTGTTAAGTTAGTTTTATGACTTTTCTTGCCACAGTTGTTCACTGTGAATCAGTTGCAGTTGGTAAGTTAGTAACCCGTTTTTTACCTGGTTTCCCCATTGACTTCGCTTGTCAGAAGGTCACAAAAGATAATCACATGACCTTCGGATACAGCAATGGTCATAAGTATGGGGCAGTTGCCAAGCATCTAAATTTTGATCATATAATCATGGGGGTGCTACAAAGTTTGTAACTGTGAAAAATGGTCCTAAGTCACTTTTTTCAGTGCTGTTGTAACTTTGAACAGTTACTATAAGTCGAGGACTACCTATACTGTTTTTCTTTGTTCTGACCTGGAAAGCAACTTATCTGAATGACAATTCCTCCTCCAAACACTTTTTTCTTCAAACAGCAGCCTGAAACAAGATTAATTGGTTTCTTCCCTTCAAAATAAATTTTATAGGCCTCTGAAACTATCAAAGGGTAAATTCTAAGTTCATGTTTATTTTCTAGCTTCTGTTAATATATAGGTAGTCCTTGATTTATGACGAATTGCTTAGCAATTGTTGGAAGTCACAACATCCCCCCCTTACGATCCCATTACAATTTTCTGTTAGCTGGTCACATGATCATATTTTGGATGACTATCAACAATAATATTTACAGCCATTTCAAACACCATGTGGTCATGATTGCAATTTACAATGTTTTTGCCTAAAACCATCATTTGCTTCCAGTTTTCAGCAAAAATTCTTCGTAACAATAGGTTTTACACAATGATTGGTATTTGGTTCATGTCTGTTGCAAAAAAAGGTCATTTGGGTTTGTCACATAACTCATGCTATAACTTTCATGGCTTATGATCGTTAATTGGCAGCCTTCACTATAGACATAAGTCAAGGAAAAAGACTCTAAAGATCTAATTGTATTTTTATATGGAAGCAAGTATTTTGATGCAAAGGAAGACGTTCTCCTTCACAACAGAATTTCCTGCTCCTCTCATATTCTAGGGACTGATTCAACAAAAATCAGAATACTCTCTTCTCCTGTTTTACAGCATCAGGAAATTCCCATAAGGCTCATAGCTCAGCAGTCTTGATACCAGATTTTGACAAATGCCTAAATCTATGGGTCTAGCCATCAATCAAAATTTCCTTAGCCCACCTTTGGGAGCAAAACTGGTGGACATTTCTTCCTGCCGGATAGTGAGGTTTTCAGGAGATGTGGAAAATAAATGCAAACAAATCTGTCAATCACTTTTCCTAACTTGTCCTACAGCAAACCCCCATTCATTTGAAATAGGCAGTATATAAATTTGATTAATTTATTAAGAAATAACTGAAACAGTACTCATGAAGGCTATCAAACATATATAGGCCCCGAAGAAAATGCTGTTACACACTCATGAGAAACCTAATAAGTTCTAAGTGAGGAATTGGGATAAGACTTAGTACCTATGCACATTATTACATAGTATGTTCTTACAGCACTACAGTTAGTGTATTTTTATATGAAATTTATTTTTCATGTGAGTCACCGATTCATTATTAATTTCCCCAGAATGCAAAGTATATTTAATAAATATCATTTTGTTCTTGAAAACAATTTATTTGGTATCATTTTGCTAAATATTTTTTTCATTACAATTAGTACAGGCAGTGTGATTTTTAAGGACAAATGATAAAATAGTGTTTGTGATAGATTTTGGATGCAAAATGCATTAAGAAATCAATGAAAAAAACACCAATGTGGCTTTGACTGTGCAATTAGCCTTTGGAACGTGCAATGTCTTATCACAAAAAGTTTTTCCAGTTGTTTTTTTTAACCAACCAATTTTTGGACAAAACTGCCATTTAATTTATTTAATAGATAATTGGATTGTGCAATCAAAATAACATGAAACACTAACATTAATAGAAATATTAATACTGTACTCTTACTTCAGTCACAATTAACAAAGCTCTAAATTTCCTAGCAAATAAGCAAAGAAAAATTGGTAGACTTATTAATTTTTTCAAGGTATTTTCACTCAGAATCAAGTAATGCTGTTATTTTTATCTCTGTGTCAAGGTCAAGTTGAATGTGTTAGAAAGCTAGATTAATGCTATATATTGAGCAAAAGAACAAGAGATTGTGGCATTTCAAAATAACAACTTTACTACAGTATATGAATATACACACCAGTGTTTTGGGACAAACTTTCAGACATTTGATAATTTGAACTGTTCTCTTAGACAATAACATTTCTTAGTATAAAGGACTGTACAAAATATTTAGTTATCATCTAGTGGAGCGGAAACCCTACAGAAAAATGAGAAACAAATGTTAACAAATATGCTGCCAATTGCCTATTTTTCTTATCATTGGAAAGAACTTATTTACAGAACTTACTGATCTAATGGGCTAACTCCAAGAAGAGTGTAACTACCTAATGTAATCAGATAACAAAATAACTAGAAAGATTTCTATGAAATTATGAGTTGCAAGTAAAACTTTACCAGAATTCCAATCTCTTGACCAAAAGGCAAACTTCCTAAAAACCAATAGTGAAGTGCCTCATCCAAATTGGAGTGGGGATATAGTATTGAGGGAGCAGTGTCTGAAAAGGAACATTTCTGTGGTTCCTGATAGTGATAATCTCTAATCATGGGGATGTTTAACTAGTTCATTCTACTGAATCCTATGGGGTGGACAGGAAGAAAGCAGCTTAAATCAGGAATGGCTTTAAATATGACAATTAGCACTCTGAATTGTACCCAGCAGCTCACTGTCATTTTGTGCATTCCTCAGAATTGTTGTGGTTGGCTTGAGGTACACCATCAGCATCTGAGCTGCTGCAATCTGGACCAGCTGTAGCTTTTAATGCTCTTCAAGGCAGATCCATGGTTACTGCATTGAACCAGTTCAATTGAGAGGTGACAAGGCACAAGTGACACACAGTAATGGCTGCCTTCCCAGGCTATTGCTGCTTAAGATGGAGTTACTATATATAAAGGCTCTCTTTCCCACAGCTGCCACCTGCTCTGCAAGATCTTCAAATTGTGAACATCTAGGAAGCACAACCCTGTTCAGAGTAGTTTCATGTGGAACAGGAACAAGGAGCATATAAAGTCCTGCAGTGATCATCAGTGGAAGGGTCCATGACTCAATCTCTTCCCCCACAACTGCCTCTATCCCTCAGGAATGAGAACTATGTAATATAGTGCTCCCCATTCCTGATGCTTGGAGAATATCAGAATGATAACAAGAAGGTACTGAAAGCTGCTGGAATCAAGTAGGATCAGTAGGATCACTTTCCTATCACACCAGAAATCACTGATAAGGAGAACAATTCCTTTTCTATGCTGAACCAAAAGTGAAATGGGTCCAGATAATCTGCCTCTCCAGGGATCTCAAGTTCAGGGCAAAAACTTGCTGTACAACCTTGCCCCAAAAGGGGAAGCTGGTGATTAGATAATAATTATCCAGTATATTGGAGTTGAGTGATGGCTTCCTGAAGAGGCTTACTACTCCTCTTTCAAAGAAAATGTTTAGAAAAGGATAGATTTACTACCATTCTGATTCAGCTTTCAGTTATCTACCTGGAGGCATTTATTAACTAGGAGAGAGTTGCAGATATAGGGGGCTGAGCTGATACAGGTAAAAAAAGGCAGTCCTGGTTTACTGATTGCCTTAATTAGAGACCATTCAAAATTACAATGGTGTAAAAAAAAACCTGCAGCTCTGTGACTAATTCTCACAATGTCACTATGTTCCAATCACATGATTATCATTTGTGTGCTTCCCAGGTAGCTTGTGACAAGCAAACTTAACCGAGAATGGAAGTAAAAGTATAAGTTGCTAGTTGCAATTGTGGTCTCTAAGCAAGGTTTACCTGTACTACAGACTTCATCTTCTCTGGACCCACCTAGTTGGCATCAAGCTGACCAATTTGAGCACTTCACAGCAATTGTATTTCATTAACCAATTGTTTAAGCTGTAATTTCCCAATATTGAATATGCCCTTTTTCACAATTCTAGGATACTGAGTGTGGGAAACTGAAACTTCCTTTCCTGCCAATTTTGGGCTTCAGGACATATGTAAAGCATTTGTACAAAAGGACAAATCTGATTGTTAACTATCAGTCTTATTTATTTGGTTAGCTTATGGTTCAATGTAATGTGCAAATCCAGAAAATGGATCAATTCAATCGGCAAGAACTTGGTTTGTCAATAGTTTACATTTCAACTGCATATTTAGGCAATGACATTTATGTCATTATTATAGCAAGTTTCTTGAATTCTTTAAATTCAAGAATCAGTTGCATTCTCTGAACCACAAAGGTTTTCATCTAATATGTTGCTTAAACCCAGACCATGTGGACAGTTGGTGGTATTAGGGGAATTCAGAAAACTACGTTGAGAAAGCAGTGATTGAGTCCACAGTAAGTAAGCGTGCGACGCAAAGACACCGATGTTGGTGTTAACTGCCTGCTCCCGGGCGACTTAACAACCTCTCATTATGCCCGCCACCCGCTCCCTCCACTGCATATGGAGCTTGAGAAGCTAGTACTTACTCGTGTCAACCGAACCAATCGTTTTGCGGTCCAAGAGGAATCATTTATTTGCCTACGGCCGAAGGCCAGCGCTTCTGGAGAGAGGCCTTCGTGCAACGCGCCTCTCTTGGGTTACATCGCAGCTGGGCTCCTGTCGCCGCCGGGGATCGCGCGCTGAAAAGCCTCTTTCCCGGGCCGCAGTTGCTCAGCAACGCAGCGCCGCGTCCGCCTCGCGCATTGTGCGCGTCGACTTTTTCCAGGGCCGCCCTGATAGTTTTATCGGCCGAGCCACCGAAAGAGCCTCACTTCAACCGACCAGAGGGACAGCCAAGCTAGGCTGCATCGCCCTTGGCTCGGCTCGCCTCCGCGGCTTCCAGCAGCAACAAGGCCACTCGGGCGGGTGCTCCCTTTAGCGCCGGTTGCCTGGCCGCGCTGAAACGCCACCAATCACTGCCTCCATTTCCTCACTGCCTCCAAACTAGCTCCGTTGCACCCTCGTCTGCGCTGCCTCCCGGGGCAGGCAGGCTGGCCTCTGAGGAGGCAGGGAAGGAAGAGAAAAGCGGGAGGAGGGAGAAGGCGGCCGTCAACCAGATGGGGCTCCCGGCGGGAGGAGGGAAACGTCTTGGGGAGCTGCGCTGACTCAGCCTCGAAAGGCGGGCGGAGCAAAGTGGAAAACCCAGCACCCTATTCAGTGGAAACTCGGAAGCTTATTCAAATACTGTATCGCCCTCTGGACGGAGGCAGACTGGAGACAAATATCACTTAAACGGCGGTTTCGTTTGGTACTGAAGCGAAGGCTGACCAATAACAGCTTTCCTTATGAATGGCGCTTATTACGCGCCTCAAGAGTGATTCCTGCAGGCTTTTAGTATAGAAGCCTGGAATTATGTTGCGTTTAGTTAACCACAATCTTGCGGCTTCTGTCTCGGGCCTACAGTTTGATACCCATTTCATTGTGGACCCTACCGTAACTTACGTTTTGAAAGCTGAGCTGGAAAGTTATCATCCACTCCCATCTCGGTTAGCTGAGGTGTACACAGTATCTGTTTTTTCAGCATTGACAGATGCTAGACACACAAAAATGATTTGGGAGGAAAGTTTAAATTTGTTTCCCATTCACGTATATAACTGATGGTTTGGGATAGTTCCAGTTTAAAGATTGCAGGTGATTTTCTATTTTTGGAGAATCTTAATGGAAAAGGGTTTTGATAGTTAAGTCAGTTATTGTTACTAATTGTTTAATGGGTGCATTAATCTGCCAAACAGCCAACAAAGTAATTCTTCACAATTTGGAGCTGTTATGTTAGCAACTTAGAAAACTCCCAAATTATTGGAAAATGTTTTTAAGATTCTAAACTTCAGGTTATTTTTATAAACAATGTCTTTTTAAATAAACAATTAGCAATTGTTAGCAATTTCCAAGAGCTTTGCAATAAAGAATACAGATATCTTAATAAAAGAAGATAGAAAAAATAAAATAAAACGTGTGTATGTGTATACATACATGATCATTCATTAATTGTTCTTGGCAGTTACATATACAATTCTAATCAAACTACTCCAAGATTTCATTACAATTTCCTTCTTTCTGTAACCTTTCTAATCATCAAAGCCATAAGTCACAACATCATTTTATTTCTTATGCAAAATGTCCATATGTCAATAGTGACCTTTCTCTAATCAAAAAATCAGTTTGCCGATCAGCAAATTCTGTCAATTTCACCAATTCATCTACAATAATAATATGAAATATTTCTATCTTTATGCATGGTTAATAGATTCCACCTCTGCCTCATGTGCATGTCACTTCCTTCCAATCTTGTTAGTTTTAAAACTATTATAGTGTCAATATTAATTTAAAATTTTAATATTTTATCTTGTTCTTATGATTATAAGCAACTTAGAAAACCCTAAGAAGATGGGTGGCATATAAGTCTGAACGATTACCTTATTGCATGGGCAAATTAACAAAGAGGTCATTATTTGGAGTCTACCAAGTAGCACGAAGCATGATTCTTGGCACTAAAATGTCTGCCTGTCTGGTTGTAACCTTCAATTAGCATCCTAACACAAAAATATTTGAATCAAAGTACTTCAGATCTGCTAATATAAAGAATGGGCATAAAATATGGGATTCCTTACTCCTGTGTAACTGAAATTTCAAGGATCTTTACATCAGATGTATTCACAAAAGTCTGGCTGTTGCAGCATTGCCACAGTTAGCCATAGTAACGTAATTGTCATTTCTGACATTCCCTGAAAGCTTCCCACAAAGTCATTGGGGAAGCTGGCAGAAGTGAGAAGTCAACTCCTTCTTCCACTGCTTTTTTGCCCATCCATAGTCGTTCTGTTTCTTTAAGTCTAAAGATTAAACTATTAAAAGAAAAAAGTTGTCAAATTTAATGTACTTTTTAATTTATTTATTAAATGTATATGCTTCCCATTTCACTAGTAGAACTCCATATGTCCAATTCCATATCAACGAGATATACCTGTTGAATTACAAATAAAATAACTTGCTTCCTTTTTGCTTTTTTAACATACAAGCCATAGTGGCGCAGTGATTAGAATGCAGCACTGCAGCCTGCAGCCTACTTCTGCTGACTGCAGTTTGGCAGTTCGATTCTCACTGGCTCAAGGTTGACTCAGCCTTCCATCCTTCCGAGGTCAGTAAAATGAGGACTCAGATTGTTGGAGGCAATATGCTGACTCTGTAAATTGCTGAGAGAGGGCTGTAAAACACTCTATTGCTATATACTATATCATAGGTCTCCAAACTTGGCAACTTTAAGACTTGTGGGCTTCAACTCCACAAGTCTTAAAGTTGTCAAGTTTGGGGAACCCTGTACTGGTAAAACCCTTAGTAACCTTAAAGTGGAATTAATAACAGGTTTTAAAAACACTGTATTTCTCTATTGATATGAATTTCAGAATGAATCATCTATTAAAATTTATTGTTTATTTTATGTTTATTTTGTCTGTTTATTGTCTAAGACTAATTCTAATATTCAGATTGTTTCTAAATTAAAGATATAGCTAAAAGGACAGCGTAACTGATTTATATTGTCCTCCCCCTCTTTATTCCTTTGAAGATCTTTAACTGAAATAAAATCATGTCTAGGTATGTGTGTGCGTGCGTGAGAAGATTATCCAACCAATCCTGGGTTAGATTCATAATTATTTATATTTAGTTGAGAACCATTGAAATAATTGGAACTTTATTACTACCAATATAGAAACTAATTTCAGTGTCTGTTGGAAGTATGATTAAGTCTGTATCCAATTTTCCTGCTAGGACTGTTTATTTCAGCCACACTATTTCACCAGAATTTTTTTGAGGCATTTCCCTTTCTCACCTGGCTATGTCCTAGTCCCCCTAGCCTCTCTGTCCTTTTAAAGGACTTTCATTCTGTGTATAGAGATCTAACTAATTGGTAGACTTGCTGAGAGTTGATGGGAGGAAACTTTGCTTCTTAAATAAAGACACAGCATGAAGCTTAATGAGAAAATGAGGATACTGTGAGGCACTGATTGGTTCTTTCTTCAGTGTTGCAAATAAAAATGCCTCTCGAGTTTAGACTAGGCATAGAAAGGTTAGTAGCAACTTGGCTGCTTTGTGAACTTGAATTGGTGATACAGAAAAGTTTGGGTTTGATTTGGTGGATGAAAATGAAACAGTCATTTCGTCCTTTCCCTTTGTTCTTTGTAATCTGCTTTTTCACAGGACAATTCAGTTCCGGTAAGAATCATTCTTACTCCATAATTATTTAAGATGTTTGTGACCCAATTCTATGAGTGATTTACTGTACAAATTAAAACCACTTTGTAGATATCCTATCTGTGTATGGTGTGTTTCTTGTTTCTATAAACTTTAGAAGTCAAAGACCTAAAATGGAATTCTTGTTTTAAGAACTTTACCATAAGAAATACAACTCTTGTGCTGGATAAATGAAATAGTGATTTTCCTTGATTCATATTTAGTACTTTGAGTATTTTTCAGTCAATGAATTAAGCATGATTAACAGGCTTTGCAATTCCTCCTTTTCTTTGCACAAATTCAGTGCAAGTGAACTGTCACATTCTTAGTTGGCTAATGGAAAGTGGGGGAGAGAGAGACAAAGAGAGAGAGAGACAGAGACAGAGAGATATTCTAAACTTTGGCTGCAGACTTCCTATAACTTTCTATATTTCTGAGCTATCCAAGATTCTGAATAGAACATGACAGCCATTTCCCTTTTTATGGAGAACTTTGTAGATAAAAGTTTTGGTTGAAACAATTCATGAAAATTAATTAATTAAAATCAAATCACAAGTAACTCTTTAAAGTCAGTACGCATTCATATGTGAGGATGTATTCTCTTTTTCTTGTTCCTTCTCAGTTACATAATATTGGTTTATTTCTGTATTCCCAATATAAAGGTTTTTGTTCTTTTACAATTGAGGGTGAGAGTTAATTGCAGAATGAACTTTTAAAATGCTAAATTCAAATCTAAAGTTATAGGAAAGGAAGTGATATGATTCTCTTATCAGAAGATTTTGTTTGATCTATTACATAAAAGCTTTTTTTCAGGAATGTATGCATTTTCTTTATGTTAATTCAGATTAAATCAGTCATGCTTTACTACATCAAATGTTTATCTATTATTTCACTTTAACAGGATTTCCTCAGACTTTTGCCAGCTATGTGGATGAATCAAATGTTCCTAAAAATGAGGTACATAACATTTAACATACTTTCTATGTATCTGCTAGAAAAATATAAATAATAATACTTCCCTGGAAAATATAAAATCTACTGAAGTTAGAGAAGAAAGACCATATACAGTAGTGTTTGTTGTATGCAAATGCATGTAAATAAATGAATTGTTATAGGAGCAAAATATACAAACGTGGACTGCATATATGAACTAATGTTAGAGCTTGTAAATATCAATATTTTGTACATGTTTTTAACTAGATTAGAGGTTTCTCTTTTTTCTACTTTTGCTCTAGCAATTGGCACTTTGTTTTAGTCAGTGGACAGAACTGTTTGAACAACCTCAGGTAAAAATGTGTAATTAGTAGAACTATAGAGTAATCATCAATGTAGATGCTTCAAAAATGTGTACATATTCACCCGTATATTTTATTTTATTTTTCTAAAAACCTCTTTCAAGCAAATAATTCATGTAAATTTGTCCTTCTCTAATACTGAAAATTAAGCTCTTGTTTTTTCTTAAGCAATTTTCAGTAAAATTGCCGTATTTCACAACATATCCATACACATATAATTAGTTCATATTAATTAACTACACTTTCCAGCCTATCTACTATTTGGATATGGATATATATATCTAATCAAATAACATGGTTGGAACCACAACTCCACATAAAAGAAGCAGTGTGAAAATAACAACATAAGGAATAATCTAACATTTAGTCTTAGTGTCTATGAGTATAAAAAGTAATTTTATATTTAAAAGTATTTATTAAAAGTTTTTGATTTACTTTCAACTCTTCTTTGATTCTCTTTGGCTACTTTATAGATCATACATCTGTAAAGTGAT